GTGTAGGTAAAATGAGAGGAGGGAAAGATTTTGTGTTTTTGGTAGGAGGTGTTGTAGTCGAGGAGGAACAGGGGTCAGATCGGTGTAAGGGTACCGATGTGACAGGGGGTCTATTGTCAGCAGGGAAGGCAGAAGTAGCAGAGGGGTCAGTCACAGGCACAGGGCTCGAGGGACTGTGGCTGATAGATGAAGCAGACGGGTTTTTTGTGGCGTGTATGTCAAGGCAGGTACGAGGTGAGGTAGAGACAGAGAGTCTTTCATCAAGAAGTCTGCAGTCTTTCTCCAAAAAGGAAAGCTTCGGGCACGGACCCAAAAGGCCCTCGGAGGTTGTTCCCAATGGCGGATCGGAAGGGATTCCGGCCAGAAAAGCTCCATGGATTCCGACTGAAAAACCCAGGTAATGTTCCGTCCTGTGGAAAGGATCAATTTGTACTTTGAAATGGCCAAAGCCAGCGGTGTTAATCCCAACTTCTCCCGGGATAAAGCCGAAAGGGTTTGACTTTACTCTAATTTTCGCCTCCAAAAGATCAAGTTTGGACAGAGATTTCTTAGCAATTTCAATAAAACCTCCGCAGGAATCTCCAATGTGACGCAAGGTGTTTTTGTCTCAGAGATTCAAGGGAAGGTTGCGAATCCTTATCTAACCACCATATGAAGGTACTACAGAAGAGTGTGATGGGTCAAGGTCGCTCCATGCCAGAAACTTCAGCTGTGTATCACCTACTTGATGCCAATCCTTATATTGGCTGAGTGCGTCTCCTTGTTTTTTGTCTTCACAGCGGAGGAGCGCTTTATCAGCAGTAAAGGGGTTGAGAGTACAGAGTGTACTGATGTGGGTTTGAAGAGCTCTGGTTATCTTGAGCCAATCGTCGTGGAAGAATCTTCTAACGACAATAATGGATGAACCCAATTGGAGATCTGCTTCTTCGTATTCGGTGATGTTTGTAGGATGCAGGTTCTTTCTTCTGTGCTGTGTCGGGAGTGGAGCGGGTAAAGGATTAAGTTTCTGTTTTCCTTTAGTTATGGCATCTCGGTATGTCTGTGTACCCACGATGACAGAGGGGATGGGCTGATCAGGGATGTTTTGTCTAGTGTGGGTGGGAGCATGGGGGTGTTGTTGAATGGGTTCATGTAGGAGTCTATAGAAGGCTTTCCAACCCTTTCTATCTTCGCCGATGGGGATCAGAAGTTTAGTGAGTCCTCCATTAATGTCCAGTTTAGCAATCTCAGCAAGTGTGCCTTTATGGTTGTTTGTCTTCTCGACCCAGAGTGTCTGGTCATCGATATGCGTCTCCTTGAAGAATTTATGGTTTTGAGGGATAGATAAGAGGGTGGAGAAAATTGTCTTCGGCCAGGCAATGGAAGACCAATGGAGGGAGATGAAAAAAGCTCTGTCTTTGGTGGATTCAGTGATGCGAACTCCGCTACCTCGGTATCTGTGGTCAATGGCAATGGTGAAGCGTTTTCTTTCGATGGTGATGTGTTGTGGGTGGGGAGAGGCGGCCATGTGGTTGGTAAAGAACAGGAAGCGAGTTAGGGTTCAGGTGATGGGCGGAGGGTCGGCGGGGTAGGGGTGTCCATCCCGAAGCTTAATGATACGTGGACAGTAGTTGATCGTCCTCAAGATAAACCAATGGTAGCTAAGAAGCACGGACACGGACACGGGACACGGACACGGACACGACAAGACACGGCGATACGTCAATTCCTAAAAACTTAGGACACGGACACGTTGGGGACACGTTTAATTTTTTTTAATATTTTTTTAGGATATATATAAATTTCACAAAAAAATGCTAAATACAATAAATGCATAAATATGAAGCCAATTACATCCAATGATCCAATGTTCAACAAAAGTTACAAAAACAAAGTCCCAAATGACCAATACAGTGACAACAAAGTTCCAAAGTTCTAAAGCTATCATTTCAACCTTTCAAGTCTCCATATCATCCTTGTCAGCGTGACCATCCTCGTCAAGAATTTCAGCCTCTAAATCTGGTTCATCTAAAGACAAATTTGCTACTTCAAGCATGCCAACGTCTTCAAGAGAATCAAAACTATCTCCAGCAATATCCCATGACTTAGTNTGTGGCGAGTATGTCAAGGCAAGTACGAGGTAAGGTAGAGACAGAGAGTCTTTCATCAAGAAGTCTGCAGTCTTTCTCCAAAAAGGAAAGCTTTGGGCACGGACCCAAAAGGCCCTCGGAGGATGTTCCCAATGGCGGATCGGAGGGGATTCCGGGCGGTAGAGCTCCATGGATTCTGACTGAAAAACCCAGGTAATGTTCCGTCTTGTGGAAAGGATCAATTTGCACTTTGATATGGCCAAAGCCAGCGGTGTTAATCCCAACTTCTCCCGGAATAAATCCGAAAGGGTTTGGCTTTATTCTAATTTTCGCCTCCAGAAGATCAAGTTTGGACAGAGATTTCTTGGCAATTTCAATAAAACCTCCGCAGGAATCTCCAATGTGACGCAAGGTATTTTTGTCCCAGAGATTCAAGGGAAGGTTGCGAATCCTTATCCAACCACCGTATGAAGGTACTACAGGAGAGTGTGATGGGTCAAGGTCGCTCCATGCTAGAAACTTCAGCTGTGTATCACCTACTTGATGCCAATCTTTATATTGGCTGAGTGCGTCTCCTTGTTCTTTGTCCTCACAGCGGAGGAGTGCTTTATCAGCAGTAAAGGGGTTGAGAATACAGAGTGTACTAATGTGGGTTCGAAGAGCTCTGGTTATCTTGAACCAATCGTCGTGGAAGAATCTTCTAACGACAATAATGGATGAACCCAAATGGAGATCTGCTTCTTCGTATTCGGCGATGTTTGTGTGATGCAGGTTCTTTCTTCTGTGTTGTATCGGGAGTGGAGTGGGTAAAAGATTAAGTTTCTGTTTTCCTTTAGTTATGGCATCTCGGTAAGTCTGAGTACCCACAAAGACAGAGGGGATGGGCTGATCAGAGATGTTTTGTTTAGTGTGGGTGGGAGCATGGGGGTGTTGTTGAAACGGTTCATGTAGGAGTCTATAGAAGGCTTTCCAACCCTTTCTATCTTCGCTGATGGGAATCAGAATTTTGGTAAGACCTCCATTAATGTCCAGTTTTGCAATCTCTGCAAGGTAACCTTTTCTATTACTCGACTTTTCAACCCAGATGGTTTGATCGTCTATATGTGTCTCCTTGAAGAATTTCTGGTTTAGAGGGGGAGATATGAGGGTAGAGAAGACAGTCTTAAGCCAAGCTATGGAAGACCAGTGAAGGGAGATGTAGAAAGCTCGGTCTTTGTTGGCTTCTGTGATGCGGACTCTACTTCCTCGATATCTGTGGTCAGTGATGATAGAAAAACGCTTCCTTTCGATGGTGATGGTGGTGAGGCGAGAATGGAGAGGGTGAGCCATGAGGAGAGCAAGGGGAGTCTACTGAGCGAGGCATGGGTAGGCTACCGGAGAAACTCCGGCGGTGGGGAGAGGAGAAGAGAGAGCATCTCCATGGAATAAGAATTTTTCAACATGCCTATTATTTTTCATATCACACCAACTCAATTAAAATTTATCTAATGTGCATTCCACATCACAAAATTGGTGAGACATGATGGTTATCCAATTAAGGTTAAACCAAAACAAGTGGTTACCATAAATTTCTTGTACAGGGCACTCCAACACGATCACAATTTCTGGATAAGGCAGTTGTTCTTTTCTTTTTTGATAAGAAACTTAACTTTCATTATCAAAAGAGAGATGTACAAAAGAAGTGGGAGATGAGATATCCCACGAGCCAAAGAAAGTTAGAAAAAACCTCCCACAAAAATTTGTGTCACTCCATAGTTATAAAAGATTAGATAATGAAGTCCACGAAGAAACAAAAATTTTTACAAGATCCCAGAACATAGGTAGTTCGTTTCTTTGCCATGGAAGACCCGTTGGGTTCTTTATAATGCAGGCTTTTTCATTTCTAAAACAAGCTGCAAGTATTTTCTCTTTCTTTTCTTTTTCTGATAATATAGAACTATTTCTTCATAAAATTACCAAAACTCCCTGATATTTTTTTGCTTATTCTATTATTACTACTGCCATGTATCGGAATAACTAGCATTCATCCTATCTTTTTTTGAAACATTTTGCTGAGGGTATCAGGATAAAAATAAGATCACAAATATCCAATGGTATATTCTTTTCGTATCTTTAACATCTGCAATCCCTCACCTTTCCATATCCTCTGGGTACAAAATACCCCCTAAAACCTTTCCCAATAAATATCCAAATTTTATAGCATGAAATAACCTAGGAATTAGTTAAGAAAATCTGTTTCCTGTCACACAGGCATCAATGTCACAAAAGTAATATTGTTCTCCTAGTATTTTTGTGGACAATGGACAGAATAACCCACATATTTAGGTTGCTGGGTTCGGCAATCTCAGCTAAAAAATAAATTTAGATAAGCAGGGAAACAGGTGAGCTTACTGTAGTTAATTTGTTCAAGGTACCATCAATCTGCATAAAGTAAGCCTGCAACATGAAATCTCAATTATAGACCTTCATGATAATGGACCAACAAAAAACTGTGTATTATTACCTCCAGTAACATTTCAAGCTCCTCGATGTCATTCTCATCCCCACGTACGGTTGCAATACTTGCTCTACTGGCTCTTGAGATCTTTGAACCAATAGTAGGAGAGGCAGGAAACCAATTGGCAGGACCAGAACCGCTTACAGGAGATGAACTGACCATCTTTCTTGACAAATAAAGGTCTGCCATATCATCGTCATCGTCTAGTAATTGTTCAAGCTCATCCCTCACCTGCATTTAAAGGCAAGCTCGGAACCATAAGTCAAAGAACTGTAGTCGTGAAGATAACAACATGCTGATCTTCCAATATCAAATAGTTATTATCAATTCAGGACTTTGTAACAGAATTGTGGAGCATAGAAAGAGACAGAGTAATTACAAACATGATTAGACAAAGAACTGCACGGAGAGGAAAATTTGAATACTGAAGGGAATAGAAGGTTACAGAAGGGTATTATTATCTTTACTTAACAATTCAATTTTATTCAAGTTCATGATAATCCTAAGAAATGAAACACATATAATCAACTTCTACATTGCAGAAGTTTGTTCTTTCCACTAGAAAGTTAAAAACCTTCTTTCTGCTGCACTTTTCAATGCAGCAGTCTGTTTTCTCCTAATAGAAGATTTTTCAGTACACAGTATAGTCGCACAAAAGTTTCTACATTTTTCATGGTACGTGAAAAGCCGCACATACCTTTTGAACCCTTGCAGTCAACCTGGTCATTGCACTCTTCAATTTACGAACTCTGTCCAAGTTGCGGCTACTAATCTGCAAACTCCCAGGAAAACAAAAGCAAAAAGAACGAATAAGGCATGAGTTCATAGAGCAATCAGAACATACGGATACATAACCTTTTAGTGATAGGTTATCGAATGTTTTTATTTTTTATTTTTTAGACAAGAAACAAACTTGTATATAAAAGACAAAAGAGGAACGAACTAAGGGCTGGCATAGAAAGACTACAATTATCGAATGTTATTAGGGAATATTAGTCAATAACTAGTGCACTAGAATGTGAGGTAAGTTTGTTAGTATCAGGTGCAGTCTTATAAATAAGGAGGGCTACAAGTTTTCAAGGCAGGCATAGTTTGAGATTAATATATTTCAGTCCCTATTTCTCAATTTTCAATCTCAAGTTCAGGTTCCCATCATACTTCTTCCTACTAAATAAAACGCCTTCTTCTTGTTTATTAATGTTCGATGGTAAAGCATCCATCAAAAAGGATTTATAGTGTAAGGGGCATACAGGGGTATGATGAATCAAAGTGAAACATAATTACATAGTTATCAATAAATCTCATAAAAAATATGTAAATTTTAGACGATCTAGATACCAAAAGAAGGAGTCCATAACTTGACAAAATAATCTCCTGGAATTGTCAGAAAATTAATGCATTTCATATAACAATACCGAAATGGGGTGAGAAAATGATTACTTACCTTGGCAGTAAGCTCATCCAATGCAGGATAAGCAGCAGTCTCCAGTTCAGTTGTCCGGGCAGCAAGAAAACTACATATAGCTTCCAAAGCTACCTCAAGAGCACGGAATTCAAATGGCGATTCTGAAATGCACTCTTTTAAGTTCATTCATATATTGATGAGGTAAAAACAAATCACAGGAACAGATTTTACTGCTTTTGTTACTTATATGCAGAAGACTTTATTCAAATGTAGAAAATGGAGATTAGAAAAAATATTTTAGTGTGCCAAATTCAAAAGAGAAAAAGGAAACACATTGAGTGATTGAAATATGTAAAAAAAAAATTAATGCTTAGCTTCTCCTTCGAATATGTTACAAGTTAAGATCACAATGTGGCAGCTAAGGAAAAATATTTACCATCTTCTTCAGCTTCACCATCATGTTGCCCCCCCTGATACTCTTTCCCATCTCCTTGAATCTGAAGCTGGAAAGCATTAGAAGGAGGCAGTCGCCTCTGAAGCTCCTCAACCACAGGGATGACATTTTCATCCGTTGGGTCTCTAAGCAAAACCTATCCAAGACACAAATTAATAAAGTCATTTTGTTAAGCCTAACGGGCGTGATTCATAATGGCTTTTTTTTTATTTTCCATTTTTAAATTCACACTAATTTACTAACATATTACTTTATTTTGTAATCTATCTCAAAAAACAATTTAAAATCCTAGTCAATTTTTAAAACCCAAACAAAAGTAGTACTAAAAAACTTCTTCTTCTTTTATTTTTTCTAAATCGTCAAAAGGTTCTTAAAAACTGAAAAACTAAACAAAGAAATATACATACGAATGGTTTTCCTAAGCTCAATTTTCAAAAACATGAAGCTAAAAACAAAAACTCTATGAAAAGGGACCTAAACTAATTGACTTCAGACAGATGAAGGAAAAAAAAAAAGTAAATTTACCATAACCATCCAATAAGGTTTTAAGATAGTATTAGAGTAATTAGTCTCAAATCCATACCCCTATTATATCATTTATCATTACATACTATCTATCACACGTTAATATTCAAGTCAACAATTGTTTACCTAATCTATCATCTTAAATAATTGGTCTAGGGGTAAAATTCAATACTAATTGATGATGTTATTGCCGTATTGATAATGAAACCCCCGTAGGATTTTGTTCTCGGACACAAATTAGCAGGGCATCAACACGCTAGTTAACTTAAACAGACATGTTACTGTTATGCCGTTGTATTAATAGACAATAAACTCAAGGTTCAAAAGACAAAAACGGCCTGGGAAAGATGTTTTTCTCTATCAAAGCTGGTTGCAAGATTCATCATTAATGACTAATCAATCTCCAGAGTAAACTTTTGAAAAAAGTGAAAAATAACAATAATCAGCAGGCAAACATGGAGAGACATAGACAGGGGAGGAGCGTAGGAGGGAGCACAATTGTCTCTCAATTTATCTTAAGACGAGAAAGAAGAATTTCCTATAATTCATCCCCTATTTGTTTCCTCCTCTAAGCATATATATGTGAATAAAGCATTAAAACAAGACCAACTTGAGAGAGTAGACTGACCTCTTCAGAAGTAATGATCGCCTTTATATGCTGAAGTACCCACATGCAACAAAAATCAAAAAGATTAAAGTGCTGGAAAGCAATTCATCCAATGAACTGAAAAAAGACTCGACAGAAAAACTTTGACCTCGAGATTAAGAACAATGGCCCTCTCACGCCCTAAAATGGTGGAGGGGTAAGAAAGCAAGGGGTCGAGAATCCGAAGGTCTCGAGCGTGAATTTGAACTCGATGCATAATAGCATACTTGTCGACATCGAGGACGGTCCCCTGGCCCGTACAATCCAGGAGAATCCAATTCCGAGAAGATTGTTTCTTCTTCTTGACAGTCAGCGCCGTCTGTGGATCCACCGGCACCACATGCCCGTCCCGAGCCATTCCTGATCATCCCCCAAAACAATCACATCCCCAGAATTCGGAAAAAAAAAACTCCAGTCCCGGCCCCCCTTTGGAGTGTGGTTTCACACAAATCGTTTCACCATAAATGACAGGACGGAAGGATCGGATTCGGAAATCAAAAGGCAATGGCAATGGCGGAGAAATTAGAGGGAATGAAGATTTTGGTGGGGGATTCCCTGAAAATGAAGGAATTGGGAGTTTCTTCTCCACCCAGTTGCAGAGAAAAGAAACCGAATAGGAAGAAGACGAGTTTCGATTCTCCAGAGGGCATATGGAAATGGAAGAAAGGTGGGGCAATTGGGCCACACCCTGAAGCCTCGAACCTCAACACAGACAAAGAATCTTCGCAATATTTTCTTCACTTTTTAATCTTCACGTTAATTACAATTGCAACAGTCAAACCATTGCTTTATCAACTCCCATGATATTCCGTCCCACATTTGTTGTACTCAACGAGGAAGAAGAAAACAACAAAACAAAAAAAAAAAAGAATCATATGACATCAAGATTTTAAACATCTACATTAATCAAAATGCCAAACGTCTCAATTTCCTAGAAATATCAATGAAAATGTTGATAAAATATTGGTCGTGGTGGATATTTCTTTAAAATTTAGAGAAATTAAAAAATCGTAAATAATATTTAAACTCAAATAAATATTTTTCTATGACAGAAAAACCAAAATCGATAGGAATGAAAGATGCCTCTTTTCACTTGTTTTTTTAACAACCGAGGGAACAATCATAATGTTACGTCCCAAATTGAACTATACCCTTTCGAATGACCTCTCATAGAGTCTACTACACTAGAATAAGTTAAAAATTATTAGTGTTATGTATATATTAGTAACGTTTTGTTGATACTTTTTCATATTTTGTCTATTTTTTGTAACATAATGGAAATGCTGATTTATCTCTCATGTCGATATAAAACCCATGAATATATAAAAATATCAACGGATATTTAATATCATGCATGACGAGATGATAATACAGTTGATGACTTATCTTGTTCTGACCATAGTTGAATGTTTGACAACTAAGAGATAAAAATACAAAAATATTAAAAAAAAACTAAAATGAAAATAATGAGCTACAAATTTTTCTATTTTTTTTTAGTACGAGTGTGCAGATTTGAATCTCCATCCTTAAAAAAATGGGTAGGGTAGATACTTTAACTGCTTGTTCATGTTCGACTTCTGTTGTTAAAATTTGGAAGGAAAATATTTAGGTCATGACGGGTGATGACTAATAGTGTCCTTAACCACCATCGTTTGACAAAGAGAAATGCAAAAATTGAGAATTTTTCATTTTTTTTAATTGAACTGTCAATTTTTTTATAATAGTCGTCAATCAAGATAGGTCCTTGCTAACCAAGACATAAGTATTTTCACTCGGCAAAGGATTTTAAAATGTTGTTAAATAGTATAGTTATAACGAACAAATATTATGTTTGAATAATATTAATGGGATCTCTTGGGTTTAACTCTGTCATTGTTACTTTAAAACCAACTTTTATATTTATCTAAGTTTGTCTAATAACATGGTGAGTTCATCTTTGTTCTTAAATTTCTAAAATTCTAATTTTACCAATTCTATATTTTTTTAGTACAACAAATAGAGATGAGAGAGGCGAATTCATGACTTTTTATCAAAAAAGGGATTTGTTTTTTAAAGATTGCAACAACTTAGAAAGCTTACAAATTTGACAATTTTATACTCATCCCCAATTTTCCAAAATTTCCTATAAAAGGTTACATTTGAATGACAAGTTTGATTTCTCCTTGAACTATTTCATGATTTGGCTTAGAAAAAAATGCTTTTTTATTATTTATTATTTTTTTATTTGGAGTTTGGTTGAAAAAAAATGGATTATGTAAATACAATTTCAGTTCCATTTTTCTTAATTTGTCCCCAAAAGTTGTTCAAACTCCAACAAACACACAAGAGTATTATATATTTTAGACTTATTTTGTGCTGGGAGGAACCATAAATCTTATATATTTAAAAAAGGGAATTTTCAGTGAGTGGCAATTCACCTTTTCATATTTGAAAATACAGCGATTATAATTTTGAAAATGGGCTGTTTTTTAAAAATTCTTTGCACGCATATTTAAATATTTGTAAGTAATTCTCTTTTTATATCGAATATCTCTTGTTTATGTCTATCAATTTATCAGTGATAAATGTCTTTATTGGTGATATGCTGATAGATATTTTAATATTTTTTCTGAGTAGGTTTGGATTGAATTTTCCTTTTTATTTGCTATGTTTACACATCTAAAATATTGTGTGCTACAATATATAAATAGATGTTTAAGATATTATTATTTACTTTATTTTTGGATCGAACTTACGATCTTTTGGTTGGAGATATATATCAATTACCGTTGAGCAATACTTGTATTGACATCATTTATTCTAGTGTGTTATACAATACTTTGAACAAGTGAATCAAATAATTCTAATCAATCCAATTCAAATATTTAATGATTGGGTTAAATAAATTTATAACACGAAGAATTAAGTTGAATATAAAAATACTTCAATCCCATTCATGAACACGGCTCCTAACACGAACCTTATGTTAAATTAATTAAATTAAAAATCAAAGAAATTGAGCGTGGTTAGTGGAGTTGTTATCTGATAGACCCATTTTATAATTTTATAATCCCTAATTTTGCTAAACTTAATTATTATGTAGGTCAATGCCATGAAGGAAAGAGAATAATTTATTGCCGTAGGGCCCACATGCCATGCATAAAGATGCATTTATTTTTGTAAAACTCAAATGCTATTTCAATGACTGGAAAAAAATATATTGTTTTTATTAATCTCTTTATTTGGTAACGTATTGTCCACCGTCTATGTAAATCAAGTCATTTGTTTTTTTTTTTTTTTAATTTTCTGTGACATGATTAAAATTCAGCAAAATAAATATTTTATGATGTGCTGTCTTCTGATGCTAGGTGGTTTTTTCTTTTTCTTTTTTTTTTTTTAATTTTGAACGATATAATACAATAATACTATAATGGAGATCTAGGAGAGGTTTCTATGTTTCTTTTATCTTTTTCTTCTCGTGACCAGATAAATAAAATTTTAATTTGAAAAATCGACAATTAAAATAGAATTCAAGGCAAGATATTAAATTTTTGTCAAATATATTAACATTTCTATAGGTTCATGGTTCAACATTGAAAGTGATCCACATTTCCATAATGCCACAAAATAAACAACAAAATATCAATAATATGTGAAGATTCAAACTCATAACTTTTTAGTCAAAGATAGATGCCTTAATCACTCAAGCTACATTCAATTTGACTATTAAAGAGTGAAATTTAAATTAAAACATAATTTCTTAAAATAATTATTATTTTGACTTAATAAAGATAAATTAATTATCGGGAGTTAATTTTGATTGATTTTAAACCTTTATACAAATATATCATTTTGCTAAATAAGTATATATTGAATTTTAATTAAATAACATCTAATATTAATTATTCAATTGATTATTGTGCTAAATTGTCAATATAGCTAAATTGTTAATTTAAAATTTAGTATGCTAATATAAAATAATTTAATTTATATTATTTGTTTTTTTAATTTAAATTTGAGTTGTTATTAATCAATGTTTACAATGACATAAAATGCATATTTATAGAGTAATCATACGAAATGAAAGTTAATGCTCATGAACCAAAATAAAATAGTAAAAAATATAATGTAATAAGCGGGGGGATTCAAAAATTAAAATTGAATAAGAACTAAAACTTTTTTTTAATTAATAAATAAACTGGTAACGACAAGTCATTTTCTTTTATTCAGTCTCCATTTTTTCATTCAAATGTTCATATTGGAAGTTGGCTATAATTTCTTAGCAATGGCATCTGATTCTTGTTTTGGGGGCTTTACTTAAAATTCCTTTCATTGACTGCCCATATTTATAAACACAAAAATGAGTGAAGAAAGAATATAGAAATGTATAGAAACTTTAAAAATTGGCAACATACAATAAAAAGATATCAATGACAGAAAATATATATTAAAAAAACCAACCTAAATATAACTTAATTGGTTAAAACATACATCATCGATCCAAAGGTCAAAGTTCGAGAACTAAAAAATTTATATATACATATATTATATTGGGGGTTTGTATACAGATTTCTGAAGTTTTTACTCACTAATCAACAAGAAGATAAAAAGTTGTATGTAAATTATATCAATCAGACTCCATTGAAACAAAAAATCTCACCAGGTTCTTCAAGTGAACAATGGCTGTAAGAGGAACTCATCTGGCATGGAGTAAGATCAGACACCAGTTATTTACATTTCATCATCTAAGAATAAAAATGGGTGACAAATACAACTCTCAAGCAACCCAAAAGCATCTTTCATTTTTACTTCTCAACAGTATGTATATAACTCAAGTTCTTCTGGCTAACTATAGTTCCATTCTTCTTTAGCCCTGAACTGCAAGAGCTTGCAGGTGATCTATAAAAACCTCCAAGCTTAAATCATCTGTGAAGATTATGTCCGATCCCTCCTTGTATGTTGAGTTATGTGTAACAGATGGGTTTAACTTAGCGAGAAGAAACCGTGCTTGACTACTATGTTGGTCGCACTTTATAAGCTTGGGGACAGGCATGCGTTCAGCAACCAGTTGTTCTGCATCGAGCTCTGGGGCCTCTAGTAGCTTTTTCAAGTTTTCAAGGTTCGGGTCCTTATCGTAACCAAGCTTCCTCCACTGAGCAATCTTGGACCCATAATGAATAACAACATAGAAGTAGGAATCGAATAGCAGAATCACATCTGGAGATATTGATCGAATATCTAGGAGTACAGGAACAGGAGGTCCATCAAATGAGTAGAGGAAAAGAGTAGGTTGTATCATGATAAGGGAACCAACGACTCCCTCTCGATTCAGCATTAATCGGTAGAAAGCCGTTTCGTCGGGAGAATTGTGGACATCAATAAACTGGGACCTTCTAAGGTAGTACATGAACTGGGGATACAAGGAGAAGTTGGATGACAAACGGAATGTCGAAGGATCCTCTTGTATATAGTCACCAAACTTTGAAGAAAAGCGGATCAGTGTGTCGTCAAGCCATCTGATAACATCCCGGGCATAACATGTCTCTGCTCGATTAATAGCAAGCCTAGCCATCACTGAAGCTGCCGCTTCTTGATCAAACCCGGCCTTGATTTGTGGTGAATTGTTCGCAACCCATCTCCTAGCAGCAGTGGTCACTCTTTTCCAGACACCAAGGTTTCCTTTTCTGTATTGTGTTATGAATTGAATGAAGAAAGCTGATCCAGGTTGAACTTTCTGCTCCTCATTCACTTGGAAGAAAAAGGAAATGCAGGTTTTACTGGACAATGTGCCCAGCTTCCAAACGTAAGTACCGCCTTTGCCAATTTCGTTGTCACTCACTGAACTGTTAGTTCTATGAAGAGAGACACAAGGTCCAAGGGCTCCACAAATCTTTACATCCTTTGTTGTCACTATCTGGATAGTTGCATCAAAATACATCTTCAGATGACCATCTTCATCGCGACTAAAAATATGCCGCAAGCACTTTTTAAATTGATTCGACTCGAATGACTCTCCAAGCATCATGAATCCACCAGAGTTTTCAACAGGGACTTTCAGCTCCGCTGATCCAACTTGATCGAGAGAGCAAGCAAATAAATCAAGAACAATAGATCCATCACACAACCTCTGCGACAATCCCTTATAGAAACTACAAGATTTTCTAAAGTAGGGTGCCTGACCATTAACAATGTCTCTGTGAGTTCTAATGGTGTAAGCAAGATTCGAATCAACAATGATCCCCGGACCCACAGTTGCAGGGCCAGAGGTGAAAACCATGACACGGGAACCAGAATTCACTCGGCATCCTTCCAGAAGCGCAACTGCAACTGATATTGCAGCACCAGTAGCCCTCTGAGGTCGATGGCCTGTTACAACAGGTGAAGTCTTCATCTCTTCAATTGCAGTGGTGATGTTGAACTCACATTCAGATATTGGTAGTAAATATCCCTGCTGTGTGGGAACAACTGGTGTCTTCCCCAGCTGCAACTGCTTCATCCCATAAATCCCCAATAATTGTTGGGTCTGAGGGAGTTCAAAAGCAAACCAAGGTATCAACAATGTCCCTCATATATCTCAAACCTCACTCTAATTAACCATAGCAATTAAGATACTCTTAATCCAGAGACCAATACATTTTAAGATTCTAGATTAAAATAGGGTGTCTACATTGTGCAGTAAATAGTATCAGAACAATCAGAAATGATATTTTCAACGAATAAGACGACTTAATTCAAGTTTAGAAACAGAATAGATAAAACAGAGACTCAAAAAATACCTGATGTGACGACATTTCCCTTTCCCCAGGAAAGACGACGACCCTTGAGCACTCGGAAAATTTAAGGTCATAAATATGTACCATTGAATCAAAAGAAATCAAACCCACCAGAGAATTCTCCGGCAGTTGTTCGACAACGAGTAATAACTCATTTTTCAGTGCTTGAAGTTCCTTCTCTTCCGAGCAATTGTCAACAACGAACACGAAGGCCGGTCCATTTCCACGCGAATCTCCAGCCGGCAGCAACGAAGAAGCTGATAACGAAAGAGAAGAAGACGAACGGTTCTTTGCCCAATTACGGCTCACATTGGAACCAGAATTCGCAACCGGGCTCTCGATCTTCCTACCGGGTGCATACTCGACCGTGCTGTAAGTCGGAAAAAGCTCTGCCGGAAGATTCGTCTCTCCGATATCAGCATAAGAACGAGGGAAACAATTCTTCTGGTAGCAAAACGAGCAGAACCAAATGCGAGACGTGTAATCGACCCGAGCAAAGGGGTTCAAAACGGCCCCGCATTTAATACACGATAGAGGCTCATAAGAAAGTGTAGGAAGCTCGACGGCCTGCATCAATGGCGTACACATGACGCTGAGTGGGATTACCAAAGCTAACGATTCAGGTTTAGAAACCGGCCACGAGTTCCACGACCATCGGAGGCCTTCGATCACCTCGAGTTCAACAAAATCCATCGGAGACTCGACGTTTCAGGCGAGCCCTTCCCCGTCGATTACATGGAAAAATTCCCAAATTCAAGAGCCCTAATCTCGCATCGAAAAGTGGAGGGGGAGGCACATGCTGTTAGAATTGAGGCAAAATTCTAAAAAATGGAGGAAAACGATCGCTTTTGCGCTGGAAAAAGAACAAAAGTAAAAGGAGTGAGTTGGAGTAATGGAGCGGGAGGTGGGGAAGAGGCTTGAGGGCAAGACTGTTTTGGTTCTCGGGAAAGTGGAAAAGAAAATTATGACAGTGACGGAAAACCCCAAGTTAGGGTTTCGGATTCGGATCGCCTGAAAACTGAAACAAAATTTGATCGGAAAATTTATTTAGCTGAGGAACACTCCAAATTTGTTGCTGATTCGAGTTCTTCATCTTCCCCATTGTTTTAGGTTTGATTTCGTGCGGAAAGGAGAAGAAATGGTGATCGAAAATCGAAATCAACCGGTACTGCCACGTCGGAAAGTCTTTACAATTAAGGAAATCATTAGATATTATTTCAATTTGATAAAAAAAAAAGGGAACATTTGATCGACCACAGTGGGAGTCGAACCCACGACCTTTTGATCCGAAGTCAAACGCGCTAATCCACTGCGCTATGCGGTCTTTTGGTAACGTAGAGTAAGTATTATATTTATACTATTAGTTTTAAGAATATTGCATCATTTTTTTTTTCCTTTCTTTCCTTTTGGTTTTGTTGTGTCTTAAATTTGAGTTTGATTTTGATGTGAGTGATGTTATTTTTGTGAACTTTTAAATTTCTTTTTATCATATTGAAAATACATAATTATTTATGCCGCTTTTTAAATGCCTCATTTATTATTTTTCCAAACTTTTTATTTTGTTAAATTCAAACCTGTATTTAGAAAAGTGTAACAATTTTTGGATTTTGTTCAATTTTCACTAAATCAACCACTAATTTTACTTAAATGGAGGAAAAGTTTTCTTAAAATGATTAGTTTTGATCAACATCATCTTTGCACAAAATTAAATTTGATTAATATATAAGACTAATTAGTAAATAATATCTCAAAACTCAATTTCAACCAAAACAATCTATTCTATAATTTTTCAAATCTCATTAATTTTGTATTAGACATGTGTAATCTAACAACACATGGCAAAAAATTTTTAAACAGTCCTTCAAATGAAATCCCTATTATAGAGGAGGATCATATCAATAATTGTCCAAATCTATTGTGCAATTCATGGCAAAGTTTCTAATAAAGTTTTTTCGATGGAAAAATAAAAATAAAGTTTATGAAAAAATTGTTACACATCCCCAATTTTTTTTTTCAAAAAATAAGTTACTTTTTGAAAGAAAAAAAACCACAATTTCACAAGTACTTTCAAAACTATCATTTTACTACTTAAGCATGTTAAAAAAAAATAGTATTCTCGAATTACCGTTAACCTTTTGATCCGAAGTCAAACGCACTAATCCACTGCGCAGTCTGTTGATATAAAATTGGGTATTAGTTTTGAGAATATTGCATATATATATATTATATATATATATATATATATATTTTGGTTTTGTTATGTCTTAAATTTGAGTGATGTTATTTTTGTGAACTTTTAAATTTTCTATCATATTTATTTGCTGCTTTTTAAATAACTCATTCATTTTTTTTCCAAACTTTTAATTTTGTGATTGAAACCTATATTTAGAAAAGTGTTACAAGTTCAATTTTTACTAATTCAACCACTAATTTTAATTCAGACGGAGGTTAAAATTTTCTTGAAAGTGACTACAATGAAAATAAACTTGATATAATATTAAGTTTCATTAGTATACGAGATTAACCATTAAATAACTCCCAAAACTCAATTTCAACAAAAATAAAAGTAGTTCTAAAATCATTTTTCTCTTGAATCTCATCAATTATGTATTACACATATGTAATTAAAAGGTTAGAGAAGAAAAGAAAAATGCTCGGAAAATAATACTTTTCTATATTGGGGAAAAATCCTAATCTAAAAATAAAAAGACAACCAACAATATTTAAATGCACAAGACCAGACCTAAGAGATACATGTCCAACAATTACATGAAAAAATAACCATAGATTAATTAAAGAAAAGAAACTGTATTAAGGCATGAAATCTTCAAGGTTTAAGAGTTAGGAGTAAATTTTGATTTAAAAAAGTACCACGTTTGCACAGGTACTTTCGAAACCATCAAATTTCTCAATCAAAAATGGTTGGAGCTAGGTTTCAATAATCCTCCCCATAACATGTTAGAATTGGTTTTTTTTTTTCTTTTTTATCAAATCTAAATTTGTTATGATGTAATTATTTAAAATTATATGTGCTTTAAACTATAACTTATATTTTATTTATTTATTTTTAGTACAACATCAAGATTTTAGGGTAGAGCAAATAGTCATTTCATTTAAATTAATAAAAAATAAATTTAATCAAATACTTTAAACGGTTAGAATTATTCTCAAATTATTATTACCTTTTTAAAATCAACGTGAAGCTGAGGTTAAAACATACCTAAATCAACAGAAATGCTGCAAATGGCTTGAGAAGTACTTAAAGAGTTCCTACGAAAAAAGAGACTACATCATCATCGATAAGTCGGACTAATGGCATTACGCAATGAGGTCTGGCAGATTTGATGAGTGGCCAAATTAACAGCCCATATATCAAAGGCTTTAATTTTCTGGCCCAATGATCGGTTGGGCTGGGCCCAAATAGAGCCATCAGTAATCTACTGGTTTATTTTTCTTTTTTTGGAACGTGCACAAATGGATAAATTAGTCTTTCAACTAATGAGAATATTTGATATTTCCACTTATTACTAAGGGAAAACTTCAACGAATTGGATGGAAAGATAGAAAAGGCCAATAAGAATATAGCTTAATTGTAGACAGTCTATTAAATTTTCATCGATATTTTTATATGTCTGAGTTCAACATCGAGTAAATTGACATTTCCATAGTATTGTAGAAAAAAGAAAAAAAAAGACAAAAATATAAAATATAAAAAATATCAACAAAATATAATTAATACAGACATAATATTAATATCAATCATTTTTAACTAACGGTAGAATGTTTATTTGTTGATTTTAATATGTTTTTACAAATTTTTTACTTTTAACCTTTAAAAAAAGATCTACCGAGATTGACATTTTAGAGATATTTCCATCGCCGTTTCCATGAAATTGAAATCTTAGCATTTCCGTCGACATTAACGCTTAACCTTGAGTATAGGGTATATAACTCCTTTACTTGAGATAAAGATTTTAAAAATTGAGATCTTAGCATTTCCATCGACATTAACATTTAACTTTGAGTATAGGGTGTATAACTCCTTTACTTGAGATAAAGATAATGTTGATGGAAATGTCAATTCCTCAATTTTATGGAAATATCGATAAAATATTGACGTCGATAGATATTTCTAGAAATATTATAAAAATAAAAATAAAAAATTCGCAAAAAGTATGTAAATTAACACATAATTCTTTTACAAATTCTAAATAAATTAAAAATTCTTAATACTAATATTATGTTTATATCAGTGATATTTAGTTGATATTTTTCCTATTTTGTCGATTTTTTTTGTGCTATACTGTAGAAATATCTATTTAACCCTCATGTCGATATCGAACTAATGGATACATAAAAATGTCGACGAATATTTAATATCTTGCTTGAGGCCGATTGTTTTAATTCTCACTCTCATGTATTCTAAAAAAAAATTAGGAAAAAAATAAATAATAATAAATTAAAGAATTTTTTTGGGAGTTATTTTTTTTAATTATATTCTAAAATAAAAGTTACGATGAAAAAGAATTCATTGGAAAGTTTGACTTTTAGGTCAAAGATTATTATTTATGAGATTGAATCTGTGTGAGTCATATATTCCACTTGTTCCCCTCCCACAACTAACCTTCCAATATTCTCTCTATTATTAAGTATTACATCTGTACATTTATTTAATTATATTTTCAACTTTTGAGAGAATATATATAAAACTAACAATTTTGCAATAATTTGATATCAAAATGAAAATTTAATGATGGTAGAAGAAAAATCTAGCTAAGAGAGGGAGGGGATCAATTCCCATGAGTGAATAAAGTACCTATTATTCGGAGTACTAGCTATTAGGCCTTCTGATGAGAAGGTCCACGACTATACGATCTTTATACCAGGTCATGAGTGAAGTCCGATTTTTAGTAATACACCCCAGATAAATACCACTCGACGATTTTTATTTGTGTTATTGCATTCTTTGAATTGAAAAACTGCTAAATTTAAATAACTATTTAATAAAAACAAAAAATATAGCGTATTTTATGTATACCTAAAACTATATTTAAAATGTAATTTCTACTTGTTTTCTGCGGTTACCTTTTATTTTGTTGAGATATGTTTTTGAAAACACTTAGAAAAGCTATTTCTAGGTAATCGCTAATCTTTTATACCTTATTTCACAATAATTTTTTTGAAGAAAATTTTACCCTTATACTATATATTGAATAGTAATTCTACTTTTTAGTTGTTTGTTTTCTAATACTAAAGTTTGCACTTTTTTAAAATTTCTTTTGAAATTTAATCAAATTCCAAAAACTAGGCTATTTTCTTTTTTTAATTGCATAACGATTTTCTTTATTTTCTTGTGTTTTTTAAAGAAGAAACATGTCTGTCATGAGTTTAAAAGTACTTTATTTTATAATTTACTCTTTTTAATAGTCTTGAAACTATACCGGTCAACCTAGAAAAAATATACGTATGTTCGAATTCTTACCTTACCTAAAAAGAAAAAAACAATGGTAACGATGCACAAATTTCTTCCAAAAGAATAATAATGCTAAGACTTTTTTTCTTTTTTTAACGGTTCAAATTTGAGTGATTTCAAAAGTTCTTAATAAAAAGTTGAAATAAACAAGATGAATGGCTTATAAACAGCTTTATTTTTTCGGAAAAAAAAATCAAAATGGGATTTTTTTTTTTGAAGTTTACTTAAATTTTTAAAAGCATTTGTAGAAGTAAATTACAGAATTGAAAAAAAAAAGTTAATAAATCAACACATGTATAGTACAGTACCAAAGATAATTCCCATAAAATGAATCCACCCATTAAAAAAAAACTGAAATAAATCAAAATCTATTATTTTCTTCTTTATTTTTGACATAAATTTAAAATCTATTCTAACTTTATTAATCCCCCACTTTGAAGAATCAAAAAGCCAGTTTTTTATATATTTAATAAACAAAACAACTAATGCCAGATCCAAGAAACCCTATTACATATAATAATATCTAGAGAGAGAAAAAAAAGATGTAATTAACAATAAAATTAACATCTTGACCCACAAATTAAGTAAAATTGTGCTTCTAACCACCAGCCATGGCATAGTATTCTAGACACACACATTATTATATTATTCATATTATTTGATTATGATTATTCCCACCATATACTATATTATAAAAATCAAAATTTAATTTCCATTACTCAATGCCCCATTTAACATGCTGGCACATGCCCTTGTTCCCTCTCTCTGGGTCCATAAATATTTATACTTTTCTCCCCTTACCCACAAAAAAATTATTACACAAATACCATAAATTAAGGATAAAATAATCCACAAAAAAAAAAATCTTCCTTCCCCCACATAATATAATGAAGTTTTAATTTTATAGCATAATCAACCCTTTGACAACCAAACACAGAAATGGGTGTGATTATTAAAGCAAAAAAAAAAAACCATTTTTTTTATAAAATTAATTAGTGGTAATAGTACTAATTAAACAAACAAACCCAACCAGACAGTAGGTGGAAGTTTACAGCTTTTCATGTCTCTTCTATTACAAATATTGTCCCCAACAACAGATCTTTTGATATTTTCTTTATATACTAATAATTCAAAAAAAGAAAAGAAATAAAAAAAACATTAAAATTAAAAAAAAAATACACAGAACATGCACGTTCCCAAGCTGGAACCATTCTTCTTCTTTTCTCCATCCATTTCTCTCATTTCAGCTTCTGCTTTTGCATTTCTCCATGGCTCTTGGGGCTGAAAATTAATAATAATTAAAAAAAAACCCAATTTTCCATGAGATTTTGTTTAATTATTCTAATTGAAATTTTTATTCATGAAATTATATGCAGGCTCTTAATTATTACCAAGCCCAATTGCTTCGGATCCTTTCATGATTCTCAAACGCTTGCATGAATCCACAAACATCCTGGAAAAAAATTTTGTTTGGTTAGATGAAAAATGAAACAAAATTCTCAAAAGCTTAAGTTGATAGGTTAAGCCCGTCGAAAATTAAAGAAAACTTACTCCCAATGGAAAACTTACTCCCAAGGGACATCGCCGACTAGCATCCAATCGCCATCTTTGTCTTCATAAGTTGGCACAAACTCAGAGCTATTGAGAAGATCCATCAACTTTCTTTCATTCATGAAGTCTATCATTCCTTCAGTCCCGTATTCACCTGTTAAAAAGAATTTAATTGATGAATTAATTCTAAGTTGGAAAAAAGAAGAAAAAAAAGGAGTTTTTATTTTGGTCGGGGATTTGAGTTCTTTTTTGTACCCATAGTGAAGGAGCTGAACATCTTGGCCAAGGCATCAGAAAGCTCTTGGTAGCTCTTGTACATTTTCAGGTCCACCTTCCTAAGATATGGAGCTCCGTCCATGCTAACCTTCACAAATGCGGCGGCCGATGCGGTGGCGCTCCCGCCATTTCCTTTCTCCGCTCCTTCACCGCTCGTGTTCTTTTGCGCCATAACGTTCTTCCGGTAGGATCGCACTGGCGGCCACCCTACCACCTGTGCCCTAAAATTTAAAAGAAGAAACAAAAAATTATTCAATGTGAACACCCCTTAAAAGAATTTTCCAAAATCAGGGTTTTAGACGAGGAAAAACCCTAAACATACTATAATCTATCAACTTACTTGGCAGGTGGTTTAGCAGGATCCTTGAGACTCTTTTGACCGTCGCCGTTAGACGGAATGTTCTTGACGTTCTCGTTGAGATCCACCGCTGCAGCGTCGTCCTTGCTCTGAATGTTAAGTTTGAGATCGACGGTCTCGGAGAAGCCCCGCTTGGCGGCAGCTCTGAGACCGGTCATCTCAGAGGGCTGATCTCCCCCGCGGCCACCGGGCAAGCCGAGGCAGAGCTCAGTCTCCTTCAAGTTCAACATTTTCCGGGTGACTTCCATAGAATCAGAAGGTTGAAAAAGTTGTCTTTTTTTTTTTGCCTTTTCTTCTTGCTTTTTGCAGCTTCTTGCTTCTGTGTGTGTGGTATTATTATGATTGTGCGTTCGGTCGATCGGGTCGATGGCTTGGCTTTGGTTTATAGGGACTGCCACCCAATAAATATAAATAAAAACCAACAAAATTTACTCTTTTATTGGATAGGGTGTAAAATCGTTAAATCGTTTTCATTTTTAACCCATCCATATATATACATATCAAGTCATTAATAATTGGTCCCTACTTTAAAAGTTTTGATTTATTATTATAATTTAATGCAATAAACTATATGACATATATCATTGAATAAATAGTTTATTTGTTTCATTTTTACAAATTTTTACAAATCGTTCTCTTTCCTTTTTTTAGAGATATTATAAATATGAAATTCTCTTCTGAGTTAAAAGAGAGATCATATGTTCGAATCCTGTCGTTTAATTTTTTAAAATTTTTTTCCTAATTGTCTAATTATGTCAAATAACATATTTTTTATTATTATTATTTACACATTATTTTTTTTATAAATAGCTATATTAAAAAAAGGAATATTAGGGTATTTTATACTCATTTATTCAAAAAAACTTTTTACTTTTTATTTTCAAAACTATTTTTCAATTTTGTTTCATTACCTCTTTTCTAAAAAAAAAAAAGTCTTAAGGATTATGATTATAATAGTAATAAAAAAAAAGATAAGAGACGTTATCTTAATATTTTTTTAGTATATTATATTTCAAGTCAAAAAATAAATTAAGAGAGACAAATTAGGAAAAGTATTTAATGTAACCACACATTAATAATGGTTTGATGCATCTTTTATATTAAAAAAGAATTCTCATAGATCTAACAATATAAGACTCCCACCCATACTATTCCAACCATATCAAATCACTTTTAGCAAATTAAGAAAAAATAAATCTTATGTTTTCTTTTTTAATTTAAAAATAAAGTTAAATTTTTTAAAATTAATTTTTGGTATTTAATTTTTTAGTACTAGTGATGAGAGGATTCAAATTTATGATTTCTCACTTGAAAAAAGATGTCATAACTAATTTAGCTGATTTAGGTTGGCATGATTTGTTGCATTATTTAAAGATGAATAAATGAGGTTTTATTTTAATTGCAATATTAGGGATGATTTTTAATTTTGTTAGCGAACCAAAATAAGCCACGTCAAATGGAAGAGACAGAGAGAGTGTAAGATTGGCACGTGGAGGATGAGTGTAGAAATGGAATTTCATATTGCCAATGTGAAAATTGGAATTTGAAGAGAGTGACCCAACAGTTAAAGAGTCAACTATCACATGCAACACACTAATCAACCATTCTAATAATAATAATAATAATAATGATAATAATACACCTAATTTCCCTTTGCAAAAATAAAAAATAAAAAATAAAAACACCTTAACTTTCCACAATTACAATTAATTCTCATTGAAGGAATACTAACATTTAATTTCTATAATTAAAAAGTTAAGTAGACGTAAGATTAAATTTGTGTTCAGAGTTTGTTTTAGCTTAAATATAATTGCTTTGGAGATTTATGTGGAGGGAATCAAAATGTGACTTACTGAGCATACTCATGTTCAAGTTAATCTAAGGCTGAACTATAAGGTACAATCAGACTCATAAAAGTTAAGTAAATGTAGAGTTACCTCTAATATTTATAAATTAGGAATCGTTGTTCGACCACGTAGCACGTTACCACAACCAATAGTTAATCCGCACTTGTGGTTAGTAGGATGGTTTAGTAGTTATATCATCTCAGAGAAAGTTACACTTCATAAATCAGACTCTAAAAATGTATGAAATTATATATGTCCTTTGATCATTGTATATTACTATCATGTGACGTGCAGATATTCTTACTCCAAGAGAGTTTTTTTTTTTATTACATCAAATCTTGGGTGGGAGATTATTACTTCCAATATTGTATTTCAGGCATAAAATAATATTTGTGAGGTCAAAAATTCAAATATCAACTCACATATGATGAATTAAAGGAAAAAAAGGGTGCGAGAGGAGTTCATTATGTAATAATTCAATTAACTTTGAAAAAAAAAATCTAAACTTTCAATTTTCAAATGATTGTTGAATTCTATCCCATAACATGTTTTCAATAATTATTGAAAAAGTTTTGAATTCTATCCCATAACATGTTTTCAATAATTATTGAACAAAAATAAATATTTTTTAGTACATATAAAATTCAATAATTTATTTAAACATAATAATAACAATACATATCAAATGGTCAAATCGAACATAGTTCAAGTGGGTAAGACGTCTATCTCTGACCAAAAGGTCATGAGTTCAAGGTCATGAGTTCAAACTCATTTGCCGTTATATGGACACAAAATTAGGAAACAAATAAGCGGATTTTCTTGCAAACCATGTTGGATTATGCCTTCCTTTCAATTTACAATATATAAATTTTCACGAATATTAATTATAATTTTGTCACTAAATAGAGAATATTCATTTTAAAAATAAGCATGTTACTAATTAAAGCACTTGCACGATTGAGTCATTAGGCATTTGCTCTTTGATCCATGAAATTATTAATTGTTATTATTATTTTCCTTTTAATATTAAAAAAAATGAAGGAGATTCTTTCTGCGAACCTTCCTAATAAGCATATATGCACATGAAAAATTACATTTTATATTATATCTATAAATAGTAAAGGCATAAACGGAGAGAATTGCATATGGTTTGTCTCATAAATAGCATAGTTTGTGCTTTTTATTTATAATTTATTATCTATATTGGATAGATTAACCAATTTTCATTAAAAATTAGTGATTGATAATAAATCTCAAGACCACATTTTCCAAACTTGCTTCCTTATTCTTCAAACGCATTTATTATGAATCTAATTAATTAACTAATTGAAATCAGCAAATTAGGAAGATTTTCTTGTTAGGCGCAAATTCATGTTCAAGCAATGTCTTCTATTATTATTTTTTTTTTAAGTGTCTCACTCTATGGTAGAACCACAAAAAATATATAAACAATAATAATAAATAAATAAAAATAAAGTAAACTTTAAAAAAATTACCTATATATATAATGAGAACATCTCTTCGACTCATTCAAGATATATCAATGAATAATCCATTCGAATAAGAGAGTTGAATAAATATTACTTGAGGACCAATATTTGAGTGTCGGCCTACTCTTTATATCCATTATATATATCGGTTATATGACTGTCTGAGTCACAATACAAGAATTCGGAGTTTCGGCGACGACAATTTTTGTCGCTAAAAGGTCAAATTTCGTCCCCGAAGGTCTTTGGCGACGAGACAAAGTCGTCGCCTAAATCGTCGCCGTTGCCCGGTCGCCAGAGGGTTTCGGCGACGATTTATATTTTTCGTCGCCGAAGGTCATAAACCTTCGGAGACGAAAACGAATTTGGGTGTCTTCGGCGACCAAATCTGTTTTCGTCTCCGAAGGTATCTGACCTTCGGTGACCAAATCCTTTTTCGTCTTCGAAGGGTTATTTATTATTATTTTTTTTTCAACAATAAATCTTGCCATACATTGAATTTAATATAAAACTTATAATATTAAATAAAATTTAGTTTTACAAAAAATACAAGAAGTTCATACAAACAAAAATTAAACAAATTATAAGAAGTCTCAAATAAAAAACCTAAACATATGAAAATGTCTCATATCATCAAATTCTTCACGAGAGATAATCAACTTTTCAGAAGCTTTCGATACAGAAATCGAACGAACCTGAAAAAATAAATAACAAATAAACTTATGTTAACAAATACTTCCACAAGTTAACTCACTACTTCTATTCAAACAAACTTCCAATTCTAACTCATTCCACATAACAAACTAATTGCACATGCCATGAACTAAAAATGTTATTCAAGCTTTTCATATGCATGAACTCAAAGCAAGCATTAAAAGTTAACAAAAACTCATGAAAACAATTTTCAAATTCACAAAACTTACTCTCACCGAGTCTAAAAAACATTCACATAAACTCTATCACAATTCACTTAAAATTCAACAACGTTATCCAAAAACACTTAATAACGCCCCCCTCCAACACTATCATATATTTAAAGCCAATAAAAACTCTCCCAAACAAACTTAAAATGCACAAAACTTAGTCTCACTATCAAAACACGCACACAACTCTCTCATGTCCATATAACTCTCATTAACTTCAATCTAAATTATACAAACTAAAGGAAGGGTACGTATAAAACCCCACAAAATTAAGAAAAACTAATCTTCAAACTTCAAATTCTAAAAACTTACTTTTATTATGTAAAACATCCACAATCACCAATTCATTTCACAGACTCAACAAAATCATCCAAAACTACATTATACATAAGCGTAGCTAAACTATACATGACATATGTTCTAAATGGCTACCATAACTGCAGGATAGTCACATTTACAGTTATTGAATTCCAACAACACTATATTGTCGATTATGAGTGTTGTAGTTAAAAGTAGAAGAGTTTGAAAGTATTACGAGGCCTTAGATATATTCCTAAGATCTAGCCACTAAAAAAAAGAACTAAAATATACTTAGAGAGGTTGTCTAAAAATCTAGACCAACATCGGTCACAATAAACATAATAATCATTCATAATTCATTATAAATTCAAAACTAACAAAATAAAATCACAAAGAATACATATAAATGAAACAATCGTGAGCACAAACATCGACTAAATTTAAGTATAAATAAAACAATCATACTTACAAACCCAATAAATTAAATCAAACAAACAAGACTTCAACACTCACAACCAAAAAAAGTATGTCAAAATTAAACAAATAACTTTTATATTTTCTCCAATAACTCATATAACACATCAAATACTATACAAAATATAACTTAAGCATTTGTTCAAGATTACAAAACATCAACTTCACAATTTCTCCATAGCATTCACAATATCCCAAA